TTTTAATTTGGTCTATTGTTTCTTTCATTTTAAGGATTTCTGTTTGTTTGTTTTTTTAGAACCTCTAGCTCCCTGTTGAGGTGATCTTTTGCTTCTTGGATTTGTTTATGTAGCTCCTTGTTGAAGTGATCTTTCACTGTTTGTATTTGCTCTCTTATATCTTCCCCATGTATATCCTGAACTCTTTCTCTGTCATTTTTTTTTCTGCTGTGGCTGCCAATGATTCTAATGATGTGGTGTCTTGCTTGATTTGTTTGTGGTACTTTCTTCTCTTTTCATTTTGCTCATGAGTCTTCCTTTCCAGCTCTATGGGTCTTGGGTGTTATTGTTTTTACCCTATAGGTCTGTAGTGCTCTTGTAGGGTTCCGAGAGCCCTCCTTTGTGAGGAAGGACAATGTTAACAGATCCCAATATCAACAATATATCACCTATGAACAATTTGTTGTTATTAAGATGTTTACAGTTTGGTCTCAATGTACCGAAATGTTGGATTCAATTATAATCTAAAATATAATCAGTAGTTTTGTAAAAAGGTTTACAGTTTCTGACGGTGGACAATGAACTGAGGGTGGGGCATAGGACGATATGGTGAGGAGGAAGGATGTGAGGACATAGAGGTAATAAATCTTAGGAAATGTGAAAGAGAAATCTAATGAAGATAGTTAGTAGCAAGAGAATAGACAGGAAGTAATTTAGAGTAGACAAGTACATGGGAAGACCGTAGAGTACATTAAACAAACACATATATGTATTTAGAAAAATACAMGATGTTAAAATAGTAAAATTTGGAGGAGGAAAGAAAAACGAAAGAAAAAAAGAGGAAAAACAAAGGGCATATACAACACCTATATATTATATTATTCGGAGGACTCAGTCCTCAAAATCCTATTTCATGCAAAGTTCTTGGTTTCATATGTGTTGGGGATGTGAGGGCCAGAGGATAGAGGGGTAGAAAAGAGAAAAAAAAAATACTCGAAAGAAGAAACCAGGGTTGTTGCTAGTTTTAGAGATCTGTATCTTTTCTGTTTCTCTTCTCATCTAATAGGTGGCTTGTCTGTTTKAAGCTAGTGTCTCTGCCCTCAGGATGGTGTAGGTAACCAGGGTGGGAAGACTGGTCCTGGTGTAGGGCATCTGGAAGTGTGGAGTGCCACCTGCCAGTCCCTGCAGAGAGATTGCACATCACGGGTCATTCTTGGGACCGCTTGTCTGACTTGAGCGCCCAGTACTGTCTCCYTCTCTTGCCTGGAGATTTCCCAGCTCCTGGTCTCTCTGTTAAGACTCCAAAATTTAGTCCCATTCCCTCTCACTTATCAGTTCCCACCTGCGGGACCCTCACACCCAGGCTCATACAAGGTGGGCGGCGCCCTGGTGGCACTGCACACCTGCCAACTGGAAGCTGTTTTTGTGTTGAGTAATCACTGTGCCGAGTTTTCACCACTGGGGAGTGGGGGGCGGGAAGGGGTTGGATACCTGGCACCTGGCCAGATGGAGATCCGATCTGAGAGCTGTCCCCACCAAATATGGTGAGAAAGGTTATCCAAGATGGAGTCAGTCTACTTCCACCTCGAGGGTGTCTGGTGAGGTGGGGGGAGCTGGGTGATGGCATTGTGCTGTGGGTAGGTAGTAGCCGAGTGACCTGAGTGGGAGCAGAGCGTGGGCTTTGGGTTTTGGGAGCCAGGGGTCTGGAGTCCTGCTCAAACGCTGAGGCTCTGAGCCCTGCGTGGGAGTCACAGTGCTGGTGATTTCTGAGGAAATCAGCTGTATAGGGGTTCTCTTACACTCTCTGAGATGCAGTATTCCGACTAGGTGAGATCTGAGTCATGGAGCAATACAGGATGCTGCCTCCCTCCAGCCCTCCATCTTGGAATCCCAATATTGTTAACTAGTATTTCTCCTTTCCCTTTCCTCCTCCCTCACCCTCTACTGTTGGCTTATAAGCTGATTGAATACATTTTCTTTATCTCTGATACTGTTTTTTATTTCAAGCATTTCTCTTCTACTGAATTTATATTTTCATGCAACTTCTGTAATTCTCCATTCTTTTCCATTAGATTCTTTCTTTTTTTTTTTTCCCTTTAGGTACCGAGGATTGAATTCAGGGACACTCAAYCACTGAGCCATATCCTCATCCCTGTTTAGTATTTTATTGAGAGACAGGGTCTCACTGAGTTGCTTAGCATCTTGACATTGCTGATGCTGGCTTTGAACTAGGGATCCTCCTGCCTCAGCCTTCCAAGCCACCGAGATTCACATGCGTGTGCCACTACACCTGGCTTCTATTAGATTCTTTAAAAAAAATACATATATATATTATATATATACACACATACGTGTGTGTGTGTGTGTATGTGTATGTGTGTAGACACAATACCTTCATTTATTTATTTTTAAGTGGTGCTGAGAATCACACCCAGTGCTTTGCGTGTGCTAGGCTATTGCTCTACCACTGAGCCACAACCTCAGCCTCTATTAGATTCTTTACATACCATTCATAGCTATTTTAATGTCCTTGTTTAATAGTTCTACCATTTGGATCATTTTAGCATGTGTCTTCATTGATTGTTTTATCTCTTGACAATAGATTAGGATTTTTTTAAGTGGCTTTTACATTTATTTCACATTTTCTATTGAATGCTCGAAATTATACATAGAAGAACAGTGCACACTGAGTAAACGATAGTTACATGTGGAACTGGTCATGCTTTTTGTTAGGGTGACAGTATAAGACTGTAGGGGGTTGAGTCAATGCAGTAAGTGTGGTGTCAACTGGGAGGTGTCATAAATACAGTTATTTCATACTAAATGAAAGTGGTATAAACATACATGGGAGAAAAGAAAGCCTCTTCAACAAATGGTGCTGGGAAAACTGGTAATCCATATGTAGCAGAATGAAATTAAACCCCTCTCATCTTACACAAAAGTCAACTCAAGGTGGATCAAAGACCAAGACATTAGACCAGAAATCCTACACCTAATAGAAGAAAATATAGGCCCAACATTCCATCATGTCGACTTCCTCAACAGGATTCCTAAACAGCAAGAATCAATAAATGGGATGTTATCAAACTAAAAAGCTTCTTCACAAAAAAGGAAATAAAATCATGAAGATAGAGCCCACGGAATGGGAGAAAATGTTTGCCACCTGCATCTCAGATATAGCATTAATCTCCAGAATATATAAAGAACTCAAAAAAACAAAACAATCAATAAATAAGCAAAGAAACTGAGCAGACACTTCACAGAAGAAATATGAATGGTCAACAAATACATAAAAAATGTTCAACATCTCTAGCAATTAGAGAAATGCAAATTAAAACTACACTGAGATTTCACCTCACTTCAGCCAGAATAGCAACAATCAAGAATACAATTAATGTATGAAATATGATATGTCAAGAGCTTTGTAATGTTTTGAACAACTAATAATAATAAAAAAGAATACAATTAACAATTAATGTTGGTGAGTATATAGGTAAAAGAATACATTCATACATTGCTGGTGACACTGCAAATTGGTGCAACCACTATGGGAAAGCAGTATGGAGATTCCTTAAAAACTTGGAATGGAATCACCATTTGACCCAGTTATCCCACTCCCTGGCATATATGCAAAGGACTTAAAATCAGCATACTACAGTGGTATAGCCACATCAATGTTTATAGCAGCTCAATTCACAACAGCTAAGCTATGGAACCAACCTAGGTGCCCTTCAACAGATTTAAGGAATAAAGAAAATGTGGTATGGAAACACAATGGAATAGAACTCAGCCAAAGAAAGAATGACTCTATGACATTTGCCAGAAAATGGATTGGATGGATCTGGAGACAATCATGCTAAGTGAAATAAGCCAATCCCCCCCCCCCCACAAAACCAAAAGATGAATATTCTCTTTGATATGTGGATACTAACACACAACAAGGGGTGTGGGATAGAAGTTGAGTAGATTAGACAAAATGGAATGAAGGGAAGGGAGGGAGGCAGGAATAAGAAAGACAGTTGAATCAATCTGACTTAACTTTCCTATGTACATATGTAATACCCCACAGTGACTCTCCACATCATATACAACCACAATTAGATCCTAATTAGAATAAGATATACTCCATGTTTGTATAAGTATGTTAAAATATACTCTTCTATCATGTATAACTAAAAAGAACAAATCAAAAGAAAAAAGAAAAAAAATTGGATGCTGCTTAGATTCTCTTGTTGTTACATTTACCATTAGTACATGAACTTCAAAGTCCCTAGCAATGGGATGTTTCTACTTTGTGATAGTGTGTTATAATTGCACTGTCAGTTTTTCAGCAGCCCTGCATAGAAGGCTTTCTTTCTCCTCCAGTGGTAGATTATGAAGATATTTCAGTGTTGAGTTCATGGTGGAGCACAGGAGATCTCGAACCTATTGGTACCAACTCAGCTAAGCCTTACAGGTGTTACTTTTTGGTTTTTCTGCCTCCCACCCCCACCCAAACTGTCTCGTCACTGTGGATGGTCCTGAAGAAGTTTTAGCTCCACCTCCAGCTGTAATAGATCTTTCCCRCATATCATGTCAAGGTCCTGAGTTCCAATAGGGTTTGATGCCCATACCTTAGGGTAGACAGCTTTTGTTCTTGTCCCACTCCCAAAACAGTAGAWCCTACTTAATAAAAACCTATCTAATAATAACATTAAAATATATTAAAAATTTATGTTTGATGGCACAACAATGAGGTACCTTGGCAATAGCAGTCTGTTTAAATATGCGAGTAATCAAGCCCAGAACAGTCTCTGTGCCACCTGGATTTGGAGATCTCATTAATTTTTTCCACTCTTCCAAACTGGTATTCAAATCCTATGTGGGATAAAATAAAAATATTTAGGAATATAGCATAAAAAAATAACAATTAATGTGATCATGAATCATGTCCTACTTCTTTCCTCTTCTGTGTAGAAAAACAAAAGGAAAATTCTTATAGATGYCAATGTGTTCATTTTAAAACATCAATGCAGGGTTAGGGCTGTGGCTCAGTGGTAGAGCGCTTGTTTTGCATGTGTGAGGCACTGGGTTCAATCCTTGGCACCACATAAAAGTAAATAAATAAATATACTGTGTCCGTCCAAAACTTTAAAAATATTTTAAAAAAAGAAAGATAAGATACAAGTGAAAACAAAGTCCTTTGCTAGCTTCATAAATCAACCAATCTTAAGGACAAATATTTTGTAAAGTGAAAATAAAAAGTTAAACACATAGGAAAGCAGGTGGTTAAAATGTATATGGTTGCAAAATATTCTTACAAAAAGATAAGATTTTATTTAAATAAGCATAAAGATTTAGAGAATAAAAATAAAATATAATCATAAGTTGATGTATCATTTTATTTTTTCTTTCTAATGCTAAAAGAGTAAAGAAAATTGGATCATTCTTACTTTAGAAATAACACATTGCTCCATATTTGCAAAATGCTTACTTTAAGTTTTCAAAAAAAGCTCCTTGCCCCAAAAGCCATGTCCAGATTTGCAAAATTTAAAGAATATATAAACATTGCACTCCTCAAAAGTAAATACACATAAGGTTTAGGTAAAACACACTTTTGGCTTTCTGCTATGTTGAATGCTACATCTTACAATACAATTACAGAGTTTGAGGATTTCAAGAGTAGGGTTACACTTACGGTATTCTCAAAGACATCTATTCACACTTTAAAAAAATTCTACAGCAAGAAAAACAGTTTTCTTTATTATTGGGTCTCACATTATAGACATTTTGAATTCTTACTGCTAAATCTTTGTTCCAGTTGAAGTACTTTTTTCTATATTCAGCATAAATATTTTTAATCACTAGGTTACTATATCTGTTCACATATTTGATAAYTAAAATTAAATTCTTCCACATTCTTCCTGAAAAGATACAAAATCAATTCATATGCTCTATTAATTAAACCTATTTTAAGAAAGCAGGCTTTTCCTTCTGTGAAATATGTACAATCTTTAATAGTATAATTTAAAATGATTTTACAACGACTTTCAATCAAATGAAGGTTCTCACCTTGGCTGCTTTGTCGGGAAGATCAAATGGAATATGCTGTCTGATTTTAGGGGGCAGCTGGGTTAAAACTTCAGTCTTTAATCTTCTAATCATTATGTCATTTAATAGATGGTGAAGTTCCTTAAGATTTGATGCCCCTCTATAATCCCACTGAGGTCTTTTACCAAAATATCTGTAAATAGAAAGTAAAAACATTTTGCAAAGCTGAATGCTAGAGTAAGAAAACAATTATCTGATATGTTCTTTTTTTAAAAAAACTGATATTGGGATTCAATCCAGGGGCACTTAACCACTGAGCCATATCCCCAACACTTTTTGAGTCAGGGTTGCACTAAGTTGCTTCGGCCCTTCTAAGTTGCTGAGTCTGGCTTTGAACTTGTGATTCTCCTGCCTCAGACTCCCAAGTCACTGAGATTACAGGTGTGTGCTACCCTACCTGTCTACGTTCTTCCTTTTTTAATGATAACGAGCCATGATGTTGCTTTCACTATTTCTGATGAAAATTAATTTCAAAAAGCTTAATGTAAGAAATGTTAATTAACAAGCTTACATACTACTCAAATATAGAAAAGTTACTGTCTAAACACTATTTACACTGAGTTAAAGCTGGGATGGACAGGTAATGCAGAATTGGACTAGGTCATTGTTTCTAAATGGGGGCATTATTGGCATTTGGTTGGGATTATACATGGCAGTATGTTTAGCAGATCTAGCCCTGAGTGGAAATAAACTGTCAGTACACTAGCCAGTCATTATTATTACTCAAAACATCTCAAACATTTCCCCTACTCTCTATTCATATCAACTATCTCCACTTGAACTGTTAAGCATAGCAGATTATCTGGTATTCTCTTTTTCCTTTGAAACCAATGAACTGACACCAGAGGAATTAAAAACAAACAAAAAAAAAGACACAAAACTATCATGAAAGAGAGAGTGAGAGAGAAGATATCAGAGGATATGTAACTTAAAGAAATATTTAGAAGGTACAATGTAGATGAACAAGTGGTAACTGATGCAGCAAAAGCAAGCAAGCAATAATTTAAAATGCTTGCAAAAGGCAAATTATTCTCTAGATCCCTGAGAAGATCAGGAATTGGAAGTACCAAGTAATGTGAGCAAGWGTTAAGACAAAGATTGTAATCTGGGGAAACTACTGAATTTACATCTGGACAGCTGGCCCCCTATCACTGTGACAACAATTACTACACATAAAATTCCCAATCATCTCTTAGGGGTTTATACTACCCACTATTAAAAATAGCTGTTAAAGAATAAGGAAAAATTCCTGTTAAGTTGTATTATGATTCCTAATACTGATAATTTAAGTAATTATCCATTTTCATGGGGTTTGGGCCTATTTTAGCACAAATAGATCTCAATTTGAGAAAGCTGGAGCTTACAAATATTAAAATATTTTTGTTTAATGTGTCAAACTAAACATACAGGAAAAGTACAATTTACATTAAAAATTATGCTTGCACCGTAGATTTGATTAGAAGACTGTAGTAAATGGATAGAATGTACTGTATGACAAAATGAAAATACCATTTAGTTGTCATCAACAAGAAATTCATTCGTTTAAAAAAAAATCTAAGTGCTGCCATTGCACAAAAAGTTTAATGGGTTTATGCATATTCACAATAAACTGAACTGCTGAAACTTTTCCATTAAAATATTTTTACTTCATTAATATTTTATTTCCTCATATTTATATTAAAAATTTTAATAAAAATGGAAAAATACTTGTCAATATCTAATTCCATTATCTATTTTTCCATTCATATACTTAGGAACCTTTTGAATTGCAGTTTAAAAAAATCTAACATTCCAAACTGCCAATAACAGAAAAAAGAGGTTGATAAGAGATTTGTTTGTTGGTTTTGTCTTCAGAATTAAAGATCTTCCATTAAAATGGATTCTTAAGCACACTCTTCACTTACACAACATACCCTGCAAGTATGCAATATGCTAGTTTGAGGGGTTTTTTTGGGCATAATTGCTACATGCTAGCACAGAGCACAAAGGTATCTTAAAACAGATCTACCACTAAGGCCACACCTGCTTTCTGAAGAGCACTTATGTCCTGTGCTTTATAAGTGCAGATCTCTTTTGTAGTCAGAATACAGTACACTGTTAGGTATGTAAAGATGAGGTTTCTTCACTTCTTAGTAAGCTTCACATTATGGTGAGAAGATTTAACTAGTTGCTCCCTGGGTATTTTACCCATATGTCATAAGCCATACTCTTGGTATTAAATATGGTTTAGAAAAAGTATTTCTTGCTACCTTCTACTTCCACCATTTCTCTTTCARTGGAAACACAGAATGCTAGAGGTAGCATTTACTCTAAAGAATGCTGGCAACACCACATTTGTCGGAATCCCAGTCTCATTTTTGGAGTGTGAAGGGGAAATAAAAAGGGCAAGGGGGCTAGAGTGTCACCCCTAAATGGCTGGACTCTTCCCAACTTTTCTGTCTTGCCACCCAATCCCTAAGCAATCACTAATCTACTTTCTATCTATATTTTCCTTTTCTGAACTTTCATGAGTGAAATCATACATTATGTGGTGTTTTATGACTGCCTTCTTTCAGCTAGCATAGTGTTTTCAAAGTTCATCCATGTGATTGCATAAATCAGTATTTCATTCGTTTTGAAGATTGAATAAAATGCCACTGTATGAATATACCAAAATTTGTTTATTATTTGTCCAATGGTGGACATTTGGGTTGTTTCCCAATTTTGTATTTTATGAATAAAGCTACTACAGACATTCAGGTACAAGTTTGTATGATCATATATTTTCATTTCTCGTGGGTAATGTCTAGTAGTGGAATGACTGGGTCATATGTTAACTCTATGTCTGATCATTTGAGAAAATGCCAAGAATCATTGCAAAGCAGTTGGATTACTTTACATTCTCATTGGCAGTGTATGAGGATTCTAAAATGACTTTACCATATTATATTGCTGTCAGCAATATCTCCATACCCTTGCCATACTTACTCTGTGTCTAGCCAATTTAATGAGTGCAAAGTGGTATCTCATGCTTTTGACTTGCATTCCCTGATGACTAATGAAGTCAAGCATTTTTTGATGTGTTTGATGGTCATTTGTTTATCTTTTTTTTTTCTGAGAAATGTCTTCTCAAATCCTTTGCCCAATTTTTGAATTGTTTCTTTTTATTATTGAATTATAGGAGCAATTCACATATTCTACATATACATTCCTTATCAAATATATGATTTGCAAATATTTTTCCCAATCTGTGGGTGGTGTTTCCATTTTTTTTKATGGTATATCTTGAAGTACAAAACTTATTTTGAGCTGGGCGCAGTGGCATATGCCTGTAATCCCACCTGCTCAGGAGGCTGAGACAGGAAGATCATGAGTTCAGAGCCAGCTTCACTCACCATCTTAGCAAGGCCTTAAGCAACTCAGTGAGACTCAGTCTCTAAATAAAATATAAAAAGGCTGAGGATGTGGCTCAGTGGTTAGGTGCTCTATGGTTCAATCCTCAATACAAAAAAGTTATTAATTTGAATGAAGTGCAATTTGTCTAGTTTTTYTTTTGTTGCTAGTGCTTTTAGTGTCATATCTAAAAATGCCTTAACAAATCCAGAGTATAAAGATTCACTCCTATGTTTTCTCATGAAAACATTTAAAAATGTTTTAAAAACATTGTCTTTACATTTAGCTCTCTGTTCCATTTTGAGTTAACTTTTATATATGGTATGAGGTRAATGTTTAATTTCATTCTTTCTTTGTGGCTATCAAGTTGTCCCAGAACCATTTAAATGCTGTTGTTTTTGTTAAGAATCAGTTAACTGTAAATGAGTTTATTTCTGGACTATTAATTCTATTCCACTGATCTAGRTATTTATCTTCATGTAAGGACCACACTCTCTTGATTAGCTCTGTAATCCATCCCTTTAGTCCTGTTTTTCTTTTTACGTTTAGGCTATTCTAGTTCCCTTGCAATTCAACTCAACATAAATTTTAGAATTACTTTATTGATTTGTAAAAAGGAAATTGGCCAAGATTCTGATAGGGATTGTGTTAAATCTATAAATAAGTTTGAGGAATATTATCTTCTTACCAGTCTTTCTATTCTATGGACATGGAATGTTTTCCCACTTACATCTATAATTTCTTTCAACAATATTTTATAATTTCAGAGTAAAAGTGTTACACATTTTTATTAAATGTATCTGTACATATTTTRTTATTTTTGATGCTATTGTGAATAAAGTTGTTTTCTTAATTTCGTTTTTGGATTATTCATTGAAAGTTTTAGAAATCAAATTGCTTTTTGTATACTGATCTTGTATTCTGTAACTTTGCTGATATTGTTTTTCAGTTCTAAGAGTTTTTTAGTGGATTCCTTAGGATTTTTAATATATAAGACCATGTCACCTGAAAATACAAGTTACTTCTATTTTTCCAATGAACTCCTTTTATTTATTTAATTTATTTGCCTAATTGCTCTGGCTAAAACTTCTAGTACAATACTGAACAAATGATAGTGGCAATAAGACAGTCTTATCCTGATCTTAGGGGAAAATATTTGGGTTTTGACAATTAAGAATTACCATTATCTGTGGGATTTTTGTAAATGCCCTTCATCAGGTTGAGGGAGTTGGTGATTATATTGCTTGCCTAGGTGTGCACAAGGCATCAAGTTTGATCCACAGCAACACACACACAAACAAACACATGCACACACAATTAAAGTAATAGTCCACAGAACRTGATAACTGCATATTGGTAGTAAGGTACAGCAGCAATTATACTTCTAAGTTTTAACTTATAGGACTGAATTTTGATCATCCCAGATTGAATCTACTGGGTTAAGAACAGCTTTCAAGGGGAAAAAGTAAGTATGATTTTCAAAATGTTGACTGTTACGTACTTATGCTATATAAGTACAATGAAGATTTCTAGCATGATAATATTGTTGTAATCGATTCGGGCTTTAGGGGAAGTGGTCTGTAGATATAGACACCATGAGTTTTAAGAGTTAAAGCCAGGAAAAAAGTTGAAACTCGTCAGTAATAAGGGAAGAATGAAAAGGAAAGAAAAGCATTTTGCTTTTGCCATCCTAGGAATAATTTCTATTATTTTCTCTACTAAAATTTCTCCCAAATCCTTGATCTCTTTAAATATAAGGAA